GAACTTGTCCAGTGCTTGGAATGCCAAGTGCAGTAGAGGTGGGCGGTCAAACTTGGAGAAGTCACTCAGAAGAAAATCACCAGGATCCTTGAGTGCTTCTCTCAATGGCTTAAAGTTCAACACCTTGGGCTGCTTCACTTATGTGACAATACCACCTTTCTCATAAGAACCAAAATTTGTAGTATCCTCTTCAAGAATGAACAAGTATGGCCTTGCACTTTTTATCTTTCTTGGCTTTCCATCATTGAGTTTTGTCATTCCCCTAATTTCCGAGAAGACAACAAGATCCCTATCCTGAAATTCAAGCCTTTCATCATCAACACATGACACAAGTGTAGGGCTATCATTACTGATGGATGCAAGAATACCCGTGTGTGGTTCCTCGCCATCAACATCAAAAACCGTAAACTCTGGTCCAAAATCACAAAACACACTTCCAAAGAGGCGTCTAACTTCAGCCTTTATGAATGCAATAGGAGGCCCATGATTATGGCAGTAATCATTGAACTCAATGGCTTGCTCTTGATTAACATCAGTAAAAACCACAGGCTGCAACACCAGAAAGCATAAAAGATTCAACTTTTAGCTACATAAATTGAACAAGAAAACTGCAATCACACAAATACTTGGTGCCCCCATCCCCCACCCCTAAAGAGAATTTGAATTTTTTATTCAATACAAGATAGAATTACAGAACATATATTTATAGAGAAAAGGTAACTACAATTCCTAACCACCTAACCTAACCATAACTACAATCTAACTCTAGTTCTAACAAACTAACTACCAAACTAACAACCTGTAACCTCTAGCTGAGCTTTACATGCTGCTGCTGTCTTGTATCAGATAGAAGCGGTTGCAGCTGAAGAGCTTTGGTGCAGCTGAGAAGATAAGGGAGGAGCTGGGTTATCTTGAGTCTCATCTTGAGTCTTATGCTTAACAGTCCCCCGCAAACTGAGGGAAGTGGGAGAAACCTGAAGTTTGCCCTGAAGATATTGAAATCTGGAAACAGAGAGTGGCTTAGTGAGAATATCTGCAATTTGGTCAGTAGAAGCAATGTGGCAAAGAGCAAGTTTCTTGGCAGCAACTCTCTCACGAACAAAATGATAATCTACTTTAATATGCTTAGTTCGAGCATGAAAGATGGGATTGTGAGCCAAGGCAATGGTAGACAAGTTATCACACCATAAAGTAGGAACAGCCACAGAAACATGAAGTTCAGCAAGACGCATGCCAATCCAGCTCAACTCAGCAGATACCTGAGCTAAAGCACGATATTCTGCCTCAGATGAAGGTCGGGAAACTGTGGGTTGCTTCTTAGCACAGCAGGAGATGAGATTGGGACCAAGAAACACACAGTAACCTGTGGTGGACCGTCTATCAAGAGCACTGCCAGCCCAATCAGAGTCTGAAAAGGCATTGAGAACAAGAGGGCCAGAGGTGAAATGCAAGCCATGACTCAAGGTACCCTTGAGATATCTGAGAAGCCGTTTAACAGCAGCAAAATGGCTATTCAAAGGGTTTTGTAAAAATTGACACAAAGAGTTAACTGTAAAGCTGAGATCAGGTCTTGTAAGTGTAAGATATTGTAGAGCACCCACTAGGCTTCTATAAAGACTAGGCTAAGAAAAAGAGGAGTCCATCTCAGGAAGAACTACCTTAGTAGCCATGGGAGAAGAATATGGTTTTACAATCAGTCATGCCTGCCTTTGCAAGAATTTCAGAAGCATATTTAGGCTGAGACAAAATGTAACCTGAAGGAGAAGAAGCAACAGAGATACCAAGAAAATAATTGAGTAAACCCAGCTCTTTCATGGAAAAAACTGAGTGCATATGTTGAACAAGAGTAGAGATATAGAGAGGATCACTCCTAGTAAGGAGGATATCATCTACATAAACAAGTAGAACAGTAATGGAAGTAGAGGTGTGTTTGACAAACAAAGAGGAGTCACAATGACTATGAACAAAATCATGAGAAAGAAGAAATATGAATAGTTTCTGAAACTTGAAAATTAAAAAATGCAATATCATGTTTTGAAAAGAGGAGTTTCAATAACAACAACATTTCCACCATATCATACAAATGCAGGCAGCAGCCATCTCTGAATCGCATTGAACCAAAACTCACCTCGGACGAAGCCAGAAACTCATACATTGCACTCTGAACATGACATGAACAGAAATATTTTAAGTACACAGTGGGGCAGTTAAAACTAAAACTGTGTTTTTTCTGAGAAACTACTAAATTAACAATCACACATGAATGAATTACCTGTGGCATGCTATTAAGGTCCCCATCAAGTATGACAGGAATGTTGCCCCATCAAGTATGACAGGAATGTTTTTTCTAAGACTAGTTTATGGGCCTTTTTAGAGCCACACAAACTAATACACGTGGAGAGAGAGAGAGAGAGAGAGAGAATAACACACAAACTAATGTCTTAGAGCCACTATAAATTCATTCATCTCCTATCAGCAGTGAAGTAATATGCCAAACCAAATTTCTCCCTCTTTTCTCCCTCCATCCTTCCCTTACCACCTCTCTTAGTCAAAATGTACACAAAAGAGGCCAATTGAGCTAACTCAATTGATTATCTATTTTATTAACTATAACATCTAAGTTTTAAAATATTGAAGTTTTAAAATTTTGGTTTTTTTTTTTTTTTTAGATAGTAAAACATTGATTTTTTTTTTTTATTGGCCTTGTTTTTAGATCAAAATTGGGTGTCTTTCACAAACATTCCATCAAATCGTAACATATATATACATAATTTTTTTAAAAAATAAATAAAACCTTGAGAAATTTGGGATCTAAAACCAGACTTTTGTTGACTATATATGGTTGAATCCAGGAAAGAGGCATTAGTTTGAGAAAGGAAAATAAACCTGAGATATGTGATGCTTTACTCCCGGATCAAGTTGGCAAGTGTATGGTGAGCCAGGTTTGACTTCAATCCCTGTAAAATAAAACAAAATAAAATAAGGAAATGATATAGAAGATCATTTTCTAAACCCATTTTCTAGAGCACACAAGACTAGCATCATGATGTCCCATTGAAATCAAAACCAATTTGATGCATTTTGATGTCCCATTGAAATCCCCTTCCATGATAAGACCACGAAAAAAATAAAAATAAAATAATAATAAAATCCACTTCAAATATCTTTAGCTCTTTGACCCAAGAATAACAGGTGCTTGGTATCACATTTCCCCACACATTTAATCTCTCAAGTAAATATACATACTTGGGAAGTATTGCTTTTGCTTTCAAGTTTAGGCATTGTAATATGACATAAGATGCAAAGAATGAACCATACCTCTCCCAAGATCATCAGGATCTGCATGCACAACCACTGCCCTCCCCAATATGGAATGTTGCCCACTTAGCTACGGGTCCGAATTACATGCCATCAGTTCTCACAAGTCCTATTTATCATGGGAAAACTGTCCGTGTGAGTCACACGATGGTTCGGGGGCAGTTTTGAATTTTTGCTCTCGAAATGCCCTTTTTCGGCCATGTTTAGTGCGTGTTCGGCTCTAACTCCCTAATTACGGGTCCGAATTACATTCCGTCAGTTCTTACAAGTCCTATTTGTCATGGGAAAACTGTCCGTGTGAGTCACATAGTGGTTCGGGGGTTGTTATGAATTTTCACCCCCAAAACGCTCTTTTTCGACTAAGTTTAATGCATTTTCGGCTCTAACTCCCAAACTACGTGTGCTAATTACATTCCGTCTGTTGTCACAGATCCTATTTGTGACGGGGAAGGTGGCCGTGACATCTATACGGTCGTTCGGGGGCTGATTCGTATTTTCGCCCCCTTAACGCCCCTTTTCGGTTAAGTTTAATGCATTGTTGTCCTATTGGAATTCAAGCGGAAATCATTTTCTTAACTCAAAATTTTTAACTAGCAAAAGGCTTTTCAATGGAAAAAATTTCACTGTGGGGAGTATGTAAACCAATCAAATATAGCAACCATTTGAGTCAAAATCAAAGCCATAAATGCACACCCACAACCATACAAACAACACCAATATCTTTTCCTCATTAAGAACGTGGATAACATATCTATCCCACAATCCACACCTTAAAGCCTTACCACCAATAGCAGTTCCCACCATCATTTTGTGAGGGCCCAATTCCAATCCATTATCATAGAAAGAAACAAGAAGGCAACATAAGTAATATCATATCTTCATACAAAGAAATACAACGACAAGATAATTAATGCTTCATCACTCTTGCAACTGCAACTCTATTTCACTTTTCTGGCATAGATTTTCCATAGATTTTCCATCTCACAGAATTTAAACTACTAAATGCAGTTTGAAAGTAACAGTACATGACAAAGTACAAGCATTCATCTCTTCCCATATTAGCATGAATTATTTCACCAAGACAACTTCAAATTAATAGTTAGCTGGAAGCAAAATTGTAGATTCCATAAATTTGCCAAAGATTACTTCTACATGTACTTCAACTAATAATTGCCTAGTGCAATGGCAAGAGTTCATGCTATTGAGCATGAAACACGAAGTTGATTAAAAAAGCAGCCAATAAGTTAGGCTTGTGGCTTAGAATTTTGAGAAGCCTAAGAGGCATTTTATCAGACAGTTTGAAGGCAATGAAAAAACAAACAAACAAACAAACAAACAAACAAACAAACAAATCCTTTATTATAAGAATCCAAATGGAAAAGCCATAACAACTTCCCAAACCAACAATTCATGGGGGGCCAAAGAAACAAAGTGAACTAAAGTAGAAGAAGAGAAATAGAAACCAAAAATATTGATAAAAGCCATTAATGGGAAGCTAGAATTAGAGCAAAAAGTGAATGACCCAATAGAGTATTATGCATTAGAAATCATACCTTCTGACTATTATGCATTAGAAATCATTATGACATTTGTAGGGTTAATTATCACAAATGCTATAACTAAGGGTTGGCTTAAAAATTCATTTTTTTAGTTTCATTTTTATCTTTTACGGAAAAATATGTTTTAAAAAAAAAAAAAAAAAAAAAAAGATAGATTTTTAAATTTTTTTTTTAAAACTTCAGCTGCACATTTCAGTAAAAGAGAAACTTTGCATTGAGAAAATGCTTCAGAAACTTTAATGTTATTATCTTGATCATAATTAACACTATGAAGCGTTGATATCCTGGTTCAAATAACTAAACCATTAGTCATTTAGAAACTGAGAATAATTGTAAACAAACAGATCAACATGTAAATCCATTTAAAAGAATAAAATAAAAGATCATGAACCTCTTGCAGGCTTTCCTTGGCAGATTGGGCAGCATTGTTGGCCTTGTCCATCATCTGGTTGCCCTTTTGCTGAAACAAATATAACAAACATCTGCACATCAGTCTTCTTTTTTTTCTTTTTTCTTCTTTTTTTGTGCTCTTAATCTCCTAACGAGGTGAAAGAGTTCTGACTAACTAAACCAACTAGTTAATTATGTGTATCAATTAATATGTGCCATGGATGTTGAGAAGTACATAATTGGAAAAAAAAGAAGATAGAGAAAGCCAATTAAGCTCATCTGGGCTTGGCCCTTGGCCTGGCCAGCTTGATAACTCATGTTCTGTGAACTGTCCATTTTTTTCAAACTTCTTGGTTCTTGGTTTAACATATAATATATGCAACTATTGCTCAAAAACTCTGAGTTGTATATGTACCAGAGTTACTGAAATTTATAGTTTTTGAAAGCAATCCATTGCTTGACATGTGTACTAACCATGTGGAAGGCAATTGGACAGGTGTTACCTTCTGTTGAAATTTGGGTTTTTGTCATTGGACAAGGGAGGGAGATGTTGTGGAGATCCATTATTCACTATCATCAGTTATTCTATTCAAAGGTGGTTGAGATTTTAGAGGAGATTTGAAGAGTTCTGTTTAAAGAAAAGGTTCTTGTTTATGGCTTATGATATATATATATATATATATATACAAGTCCTATTTGTCATGGGAAAACTGTCCGTGTGAGTAGATGAGGTTTGATTTGAGAGAGTCAAATTTCTCTGTGATATATGGGTGTGGGGTTAAGAGACTTCAGACATCATAAAATAATATTGTGTATCTCTTCCATGACTAAAAATGGGAGAGGGACTTTAGACTAATTTTCCCTAATAGAATCATGTTTTGAAACTGTAACATTTTACAATTCCAAAGCTTGCTTTTTAGTTCGATCAATATTGGAGATTATTTGCTTAAATCCTACAAAAATTGAAAAATAATATATCTTTTTTCCCATTGTTGTTTTTTTTTTTTTTTTTTTTTTCCCCTTGCAATTTATCAATTTTTTTTTTTTTTTTTTTTTTCCCCTTGCAATTTATCAATTTTTTTTTTTTTTTTTTTTTTCCCCTTGCAATTTATCAATTTTTTTTTTTTTTTTTTTTTTTTTTTTTCTGCCCTTGCAAATTAGCAATTATTATTATTATTTTTTATTTTTTTTGGTGCCCTTGCAGGTCAGTAATTTTGATGTTTCTCTGTTGTCCTGTTTGTCTGTATAAATTGTAGAAGCATATCAACAAATGATTTTAATGTTTTTAAAAGGCAATTTGAACCAAAAAAAATAACAAGGCCTATAAAGGGTAGTTCTGTGTATGACTATGCATTATGCTTTTGCTTTAGATCCTCCTAGAATTTCTTTATAAAATCTTTAATCATAACAAACTTTTAAAGTTTATGCACAAAACATTAAAAATTGATACTGTATTAGTTGATTAGTAGTTGTTGGGAATGATGCAATTTTATGTATTATGCAAATTGCAATTGACAACCTGCACCAATTGAGAATTTTTTTCCTTTATTGTTGGTAATTAACTTTAAATCTTTCTTTGGTCTCCTGTTATTTCTTTGGTCTCACCCTATAAAATTAGCAAATTGATGAGCAAAAAGAAAGCTTTTAAAAATAAATTATGATCACAAATTCACAGTGCATAACATATCAAAGTGAGAGATTTCACAAATATTATTTTTAACGCTTAATGGTTTTAAATTATAGGAAAATGAGTAGTTCTTTTTTTAGTTTTGATATTTAATTTTAATTTGTAGGTTGGATCCTTTAATCAAAATTATATTTAAAAAAAAATATATATATATCGGCGTACCGTAGCCGTACCCGTATCGTATCGTACTTTTTTTGAGTTTTGCCGAATCGGCGTACCCGCACTCGTACCCGTACCGTACTCGTACCCGCACCCGTGCTTTCTTGGCACACTTGTATATCTACCCAGTGTCATTCAAGAAGGAAAAAAACAGAGCCTGAGCATTAACAACTAAAATTTCCTCTCATCTACTGTATAACTCTGAAGCAATAGAAGGGGAAAAAACAGAGCATGAGCATATATAATCTATATCAATCTATACTCCTTAGAGGAAGAAGTGTAAGCATATATAATCTATTTCAATATACTCCTAAAATTTTCCATTAACTTACCTACTAATAATATTCTTAAATTGTTCAGTACCTTAAATCAATTGCTATCTACCTAATAATACTATATATATATATATATATACACACATATAACTCTACTCAGCAATTTAAGCAGCTCTTTACGATTGCTTAAATAGAGCAACAAAAGTTTGGAATTAAACACAACTTGGACCTCATATGTGCTTCAAATGTAGAAAAAGAGTAAAACCCTAAAATGATTTTATCAAAATCCTACAGCATCAAAAATAAAATAAAACCCTAGATCCAAGATGGTGAAATGGGGAAATAGAGGAAGAGAGAGAGAGAGAGAGAGAGAGAGAGAGAGAGAGAGAGAAACCTGAATGTGGCTGGGAGGGGGGCCGCGATGGTGAGCGACGGTGGCGAGAGCCGCGATGGTCGGTGGTGGAAGTTCGATGGTAACTGTTAGCAAGGATGGTGAGTCGAGATGGTGAGGGTGAGGTTTGCTAGTGTTTGGCACAGAAATGTATATCTTGTGTCTGTGTGTGTGAGAGACAGAACAGAGATCAGGCGCCAAAAATAATTTGTTTCCTCTAAAACAAATATTACAACTTTTAGCAACTAAATATATTTTTGGTCGTTAAATAACAATAAAAAAAATTTTTGGCGACTAAAATTTTTTTTTATCGCTGAAAATAAACTTTTGACAACTAAAATTTTGGTCGCCAAAGGTAAAAAATAACTTTTTATTTTTCATTCGGCGACTAAATGGTTTAGTAGCCAAAACTCAACATACAACGATTAAGATTCTTTTTTGTCGCTGAAAAAAAACTTTTGGCGACCAAAATTTTGGTCGCCAAAGGTAAAAAATTAATTTTTTATTTTTCTTTCGGCGACAAAATGATTTTAGTAGTCAAAACCTAATATACGGCGACTAAAATTTTTTTTGGTCACCAATTCTAGCATTTTTAGCGACTAAAATTTTTTTTAGTCGCCAAAAACCAATATACCCCGACTAAAAAAAATTAGCAATTAAATATTTTACTTTTGGCGACTAAAAAAATTAGTTGGTCGCCAATTTCATAACTTTTGGTGACTAAATTTTTTTTAGTCGCCAATTTTAATCGCCGAATGTACATTTTGTTGTAGTGGAATAACAGATGAAAATGGTATTAATGCGAATTAAAAATTAAAAGAACTCAATATTTTTATTTGATTTTTTTTTTCTTTTTAGGATAGAAATAATTTTTAATATTTATTTTTGTCAAACCAATTTATAATTTAAAAAATAAAATAAGGTTATTTTATCACTCCTTTCATAAAACCAAATAACCAGAATCTCTTTTTTTGGCCTTTGAATGTTCACCATACTCTGATACGAATTACAAGATGACTCCCCACTTTCACATTGCAATTCTCTTTTCAATAGTTTGCTTAAGACTCGTTCAAAAAATCATTCTTGCCAAATGCCTCGATTATCAAAGGCCTCGCTTGAGACCTAAAGCCTCATTGTGATGTTTAATTTAAGACTTTAAAATACCTTAAGCGAATATTGTATCAAAACATGATCTAAGTAAATTTGTTGTTAGAAAATGCTACAATTATGGTTTGAAGCAAGATTTCAGACTCTATAAATTCCTCCACACTGAATTGATATTTTGCATTAGGATTTTTAAGCTTGTGTAACTCTTACTCAAGGATTACTTCTACAATTTTTTTTCATGTATTAGACAATTATTCTGATGTTGGATTTCATACTAAAGCAATTTCTTGACAATTTGCTTGAATATGAAATCCAACATCAGTCGCATACACTCCAATAAGAGACATTATGTTACAGGTTCATCAATCACATACAATTGAATTTTTTTTACTCTATCAAGATTTACTTATAGATTTTTCTATTCTAGCGGGAGACTTCGTGTGAGCCCACTAACATCAATTCAACCAAGAGAATTCACCCATACTGTACGAGCGCGAAATAATCTTCTCGTATAATCCTACTGATCAAGTTTGCGCTTCCTCCAAACGGCGTCGCTTTACTCCCTGAAAACACAAGCGTGAACTAGCCGGCAGGTGTGTGTCGGATACCTCTCCAATGCCTAAGTCAGCAAAATAGACAAATAGACAAAAGCTCTATGTATTCGAGAATCAAAATTGTGATACCTGTGCATAGGTCCTACTATGAGCTTTTATAGATTTCGTGTGCACAATCCTAGTAGGATTCTTTTTCTCCAATGTAGAGTCCTCCTAGGAATCAGAAAGGTAATGCTCATCTTTCTACACCCCCCTCACTACCTAACCAAGTGACATGGTCTTACCGCGATAATATGACAATACGACCGAGCTATCTCTAACCTTCAAACACACTTAGCTTGGCGCTTTCACGAGCGATGTTTAGCTCGGTCGCCGTTCATCAATACCTATGTTCAAATCACCTAGACCGAGCTAAAATATAGTCCTTTCTGGCCGAGCTAACAGGGCCCAATTTGCAAAGTCCATTCAGCTCGACCCACAACTCGGCCCACCTTCTACCGGTCTTAGCTCTGCCCAAGCTTTACATAAATTACCCTCTCAATTGCCCCTTAATTCCATCTGCAATGCATGATTTGGGATTATTCCTCTCCAGCCGAGCTAAGCCGACCGAATTAAAATAAGTAATACCACCGAGCTCGTTCTCGACCGAGCTACCCATTTACCCGGTTTCAGAAGCGTCTTGTCAATTAACTCGGTACGTCGTTTTGCCTCTCAAGTACATCTGAATCGTTATCTATTCCCCTAGACACGTGGCTTGCTTTCATTGGTCCAATACAACTGTCACAGCCGTCTTTGTACCTCGCAAATTTTGAACAGTCCCGCCCAAACCTATGCTTTATACAAAAACCCTGCTTTTTAAATAAAACACACCACTGTTCATCTTCTCGCACTTGTCCTCTGAGCCTCCATTTTTACGACCATAGTTCCTGCAAAGCTTGTGTTTTCACTGCCATCCTTACAGTCGTGATCTCCATCCTTTCACCCCAAAGCTGTAAGTGGTTCTATGCTTTTTCCTTTCCATTTATTTTTGCATAGTATAGCAATATATAGCATAGTATATGTACGTTTTTCAAAACACACTAGTATAGGTTTCACATCAATGAGTAAAAACCACTTAGTCCCAAAAAACCACATGATAGACCCTCTAATGGATTCACTAACAATCTGAAATGTGATGCTTTTGATCCAAAATTACACCACGACCAAGATAGGAACTTGTTTTCCATAGGTGCTTATTAGACCGAACTGGAAACGTCACCCAATGACCGAACTAGAACTTGGAGCCAACCCTTGTGTTTACGACCGAACTAAAAACTCTGCAAACTGACCTCCAATTAAGCTAGAGGTCGTGTTAACCCTTCTGTTCGACCGAACTGAATACACCACGTTTCCCGTATGTGACCGAGCTAAGCTTTTACAATTTTTTTGTAAATTGACTGTTTACTTAGTCCAGTCCAGTTGTCTGGGCATAACACTTCTTATTTCCACTTTGCAGACTTGACTAGGTTGGCCAGGCACTTCCTTGCACCCTGCCCCTAGGAAGCTTTGCTCAACCGAGCCAACCAAAGCCTCAGTCACGCCGAGTTAGGCTTAATTTATTTACAACTTAAGTTAAATGGGTAAATACCGGTTCCTGGTGGACTCACCTGGGGCGATAGCCGAGTTCGGAAAGGATTATCACATTCCTGATGATGTACATCTCTCATTAGCCGAACTAGATACCATGCCCTGGGGAAAATCGGGCTTCGTTCTCTTTACCGTAATATCTATTATAGAAGCCGGTCTTCGATTTCCCGTTCAGCCTCTCCTTTGTGAATTCCTTAGGCAGACAAGACTCTACCCCACCTAACTTTCCACAAATTCATATAGAATAATAAACGGTATCACCGAACTAAACCGTTAGCTTGGCCTCAAAATCGGTTTGGCTGAGCTATTCCATCAATACTCACTCGGCCAAAATGAAGACGACTGAGTATGTTATTTAAGAATAAGAAAACGCCAAGAGAAAATAATTAAAAATACACTGGACAAAGATATGAACAACGACGATTTCTTCTGGGTTTCTGGTAATTTTGAAGACCAGGAAGCCCAGATACCGGGCTACAGTATTAACTGGAATAAAGGAACAGCCGGTATGAATACCTCGGCTTAGTTTATCTTTCTTTTTTTTCTTTTTTTTTTTTTGCTCTTGTTGTTTATAACTCTCACACCGCGCTAACCGTTGTCTTTCTCCTTATGCAGACTTGAACCAGCTAAAGTCACAATACCAGTACCCTAACCTAGATGCTCTCCGCGCCGCGCTTCGATACCGTCATCAAGATTAGGCCAAACTACTTAACTTCGAACCGACCTACAAATATAGCGGAAGGAGGAAGACCAGGGTGACAGACTTTCTCCTCGAGCCATCACCTGAACCAGATCCCACACTTTCCCAAATCAAGCTGATCCTGCTAACAGAGGAACAAGAAATGGCAAAAAAAAGAGCCGTGCGAGCACTCATCACCGAGCAAACCACTGGTGAAGCTTAAGCCGGGCTAGAGCCAACTGGCTAGCCTCATGATACCATAGTGGCCCTTCCAACTGCAAGGCCCTCCACATCTCAGCCAAGCAAACGTTCACGAACCACTTCAGCCAAACCGCAACGCCTGGTTGATGAGGATATCGTGCTTCCCGATACCAAAATGCCGAGCCCCGAGCCCGTGCATTCCAACCGAGCTACCCCTTCAGAGTGGGCTCCAAAATTGACATACAAGAACCGTGCTATATCAAACACCGACTCAATGGTTGCAGACAAGGACCACACGCTTGGCTTCAACCTTGCTAAAAACGTGTGTCTGCCAGCCGACATGGAGCACCACGATCATCTGACCGAGCTAAAAGCTATCCGCTCGGCCACTAAGTCGATGGTGTTGGTAAGTGCTCTATGTTCTTTTTTTCAATTCACATATCTGTTTGCTCGGTTTCAATCATAATTGTTATCTTCCTTCTTGCAAGCCATGTAGAATAACCACGTTGCTCACAAGCGCGTGCTAGAGCTGTGTAAGACAGCATGGCTGGCTATTGCAGATGCCAATACCAAGACGGCCGAGCTGAACGAGGCCAGGCAAAAAATGACCAAGCTCGAATCTGAAGTCACCCAACTCACGGAGCTGGTCAGCTCGGCGGAAACAGATAAGCAGAAAGCCCTAGCTGAAAGAAAAGACACCTATCTGCGCGAGTTGGCCAAGCTTGAGAAAAAGAAGGGTGCAGAGATTGCCAAGCTAAATAAGAAGATGGAAGATGCTGAAGAGCGTGGCTATAAAGAAGCGGAGGCCACCTATGTCTTGCAGTGTGAAGCTGCAAAGGACATATTTTTCAAATGCGGATGTAAGGTGGCTGTATCAAAGCTCAGTTTTGGTCAAGAAACCGAGGTCTTCCAAAACCCTCCTCCTCATTTCATTCCAAGCTATATGGAAGACTATGCCAATGCCATTCAAGAGAAGTTACTTCAAGATAGGGAAGGGAAAGAATCCCCAGAACCAGACAATGCCCCAACTATTACCTCAGACCACGGTTACCAAATTGTTCTGCCAGCTCGGGTGGAGCCACCGGTACATATGGTTGATGATGCGCCTGTGATCGACCTACTTGCTGAGACCGGGCTACCGAGTAGTGAAGCTCGGGTTGATCTGGATGCAGATTTGGACGACCTATTTGCCTGACCTTGTTTTTCTTCTTTTACTCTTGAAAGAATTTGTAATTGGGCTCAAGCCCCTCCTCTTGTAGTGGATCTTTTTCTTATGGATTGAAGTCTTCAATTTTCCAATTTTTTTGTTCGGTTCACTCCACACTTGTATTTATTTTTCAACTTTTATTGTATGAGAACACTTTTTGCTTGGTTTTTATGCTTTAATATTTTCAGATCGAGATAATCATTTCGGTCAAAGTACTCGGTAATCAGTTTACTTTTTGTTAGCCATACCTGCCAACTTGCTTCAGCCTAGATCCTGATCTTGGCCGAAAAGGGATAAATGTTGGTTATTCTTGCCAACCTTCTTCAGCCTAGATCCTAATCTCGGCTAAAGAGAGCTAAATGTTGGTTATTCCTGCCAACCTTTTTTAGCCTAGATCCTGATCTCGGCTGAAAAGAGCTAAGTATTGGTTATTCCTGCCAACCTTCTTCAGCCCAGATCCTGATCTCGGTTGAAGAGAGCTAAATGTTAGTTATTCCTGCCAACCTTCTTCAGCCTAGATCCTAATCGCAATTGAAGAGAGCTAAATATTGTTATTCCTGCCAACCTTCTTCAGCCTAGATCCTGATCTCGACTGAAGAGAGCTAAGTGTTGGTTATTCCTGCTAACCTTCCTCAGCCTAGATCTTGATCTCAGCTGAAGAGAGCTAAGTGTTGGTTATTCCTGCCAACCTCTTCAGCCTAGATCCTTATCTCGACTGAAGAAAGCTAAATGTTGGTTATTCTTGCCAACTTCTTCAGCCTAGATCTTTATCTCGGCTAAAGAAAGATAAATGTTGGTTATTCTTGCCAACCTCTTCAGCCTAGATCCTTATCTTGGCTGAAGGGAGCTAAAAGTTGGTTATTCCTGCCAACCTCTTCAGCCTAGATCCTTATCTCGGCTGAACAGAGCTAAATGTTGGTTATTCTGGCCAATGTTCTTCAGCCTAGATCCTTTTCTCGGCTGAAGAGAGATAAATGTTGGTTATTCCTGCCAAACTTTCTGATTGCCTCTTGCTGGAAATGACTGAAAACAACTTTTACAATAGAAAGAATTATGCCGAAAAAACTACTTGTTTTATTTGAAAAAGGGAAAAAATTACAAATATTCCAGGAAAAGGCTAAAAATAAAATAACTTGAGATTGACAGTGTTCCATGGCTTGGAAATAACCTTGATGTCTCCATCTTCTAAGTGATATGCCCCTTTTCCAACTAAACCAACCACTTTGTATGGTCCTTCCTAGTTAGGTCCCAATTTTCCATCTTCGGGTACCAAAGTGTTACCCATTACTTTGCGTCATACCTAATCCCCAATCTTGAATTGCCTTGGATGCACTGTTTTGTTATATTTTTTGGATAACTCCTGCTGGTATGAGGCAATGTGAACTAGAGCTCTTTTCCTTCTCTCATTTGCAAGGTCGAGTTCTAAGGTTATGGCTTCTTTATTTAAGTCTAGGTCAAAATTTTCACTTCTAATAGTGATGAGGCCTACTTCTAGTGGGATTATTGCCTCCATGCCATAGGCCAAAGAAAAAGACGTTTCACCAGTTGACCGCCGATGTGTGGTACGGGAAGCCCATAAAATATGAGGAAGCTCCTCAACCCACTTGCCTATTGCTCTTTCCAACCTTTTCTTTAAGCCATCTAAGACAACTTTGTTTGAGGCTTCTGCCTGGCCATTTGCTTGAGGGTATGCTAGTATAGAGCTGTAAAATTCTATCTTGTATTCCTCGCAAAAGCCCCTGAAGATTCTGCCATCGAATTGAGTGTCATTGTCAGATATTACAGCTTTGGGTATGCCGAATCGAGTGATGATATTTTTCTAGACGAACTTCTTTACATCTTTCTCCTTTATTGATGCGAGTGCTTCTGCCTCCACCCACTTGATGAAGTTGTCTGTTGCAGTGAGAAAGAACTTTCTGTTGCCGGGTGCTATTGGAAATGGTCCCACTATGTCCAGGCCCCACATTGCGAAGGGCCATGAGCTAGTTAATGGTAGAAGCTCTCTAACTGGTTGATGTATTTAGTGTGCGAACTTCTGATAGTTTTCGCACCTCTTGACATATTTTTCTGAATCTGCTTGCATGAATGGCCACCAATATCCTTGCGAAATTGCTCTGTAGGCCAATGATCTTCCCTTTGGTGACTTCCGCATACGCCTTCATGTATCTCGAACAGAAATGCCTTGACCTTGCTGGGATGGACGCATTTCAGGTAAGGTCTGTGAATGATTTTTTGTACAATGCCAATGATGGTGAAAGCCAAAATTGCTGTGATTTTGCTCTGATTTTATTGGCCTCTTTCTTTTCTTCAGGCAAGATGCCATCTTTTAAGAATACTATGATGGGATCCATCCATGAAGGGCCTACTTCAGCACAACACACTTCAGCTACTTCGGGTTCTTCAATGCTTGTTCTGGGTAGAAAGTCGATCAGTAATGGGTATGGGATAGAAGTATCTACCATTGAAACAAAACCTGCCAGCTCATCTGCTCTACCGTTTTCTTCTCGGCCGATTTACTCTATTCGAACTACTTCGAACTTCATGATCTCCTTTCTGACTAACTCTTGGTACTTAGCCATCCTTTCATCTTTTGCCTCGTGGTCGCCTGAAATCTGGTTTACTACTAGCTGGGAGTCGCTGTAAACCATTAGCTCGGAGGCCTTCATGAAAAGTGCTGATTTTAGGCCTACTAGAAGTGCTTCATACTCCGCCTCATTGTTTAATGCTGGGAAGCTAAGGTTGACTGCCTGTTCCACTATTAGGCCATCTGGTGAGATGAGGACTATGCCAAGTCCTGCACCGTGCATATTGGATGCTCCATCTACAAAGAGCTTCCACATCTCTCCGACGAATAGTTTCCAGCAAATAGAGGGGTCGGATGATGTCTTGGGACTATGGGTGTCGCTAGTGTTTTTTTTCCTAGTCCATGCCTGTGGTTGGGGTTTGATTTTCGCTGTATGATTGCTTCAAGTCTTCATTTTTTGAT